GCATTGCAGGCCTGGGCTGTGGCATCACCTCCAGACGTATCTCTGCAGGTGCTCTTCCTGCTCATTTATTCTTCACACAGCAGCTACTTCCTTCCTTCACTCACTATATTTCCTCCCTAGCAGGTATCACAGTCTGTCATGATCGTATTTATTTATTTCTTTACTTACTGACTGTCTTTTATCCCTCTCTTGAAGCCAGGCGTCATAAGGGCAGTCTCCTTTGCGTGTTGCTTGGTGTTCACTCACAGGTCCTTCCCCTGGTAGTATGTATGAATGAATGAATGAGCAAATGAATGAAGAAATGAACAAAGGTGGGTAGTATTAGACACATCCTCAGCAGGGTTACATCAGAAACTTCAAAGGCTGTCATCTCAGGTTCTCCCAGAACACTTACCTGTTTTGTATGAACACCTGCTCCGTTTTGATGTGGTCCTCAAGCACGGCCCCGAGAAGTCACCTTGACTGTGCGTGTCTGTCATTATTGCTTGAAGAGGGCTTTATCCCCCAGAAGCAAGACGCAGGGCGGTTCAGAAAGTGGGATGTCATTGTTCTAGATTGCTGTGTACTAAACTCTGTTGACCTGGCTGCCCAGTAAGAAGTGTATGGTGTCCGTGATCATTTACCCACGGATGTACACATTTACATACAGATAAACTCCATAATGCATTACTTTACTCCAGACATTTTCTATTCCCGTCTGTTCTATTTGGTTCTGTTCCATTAAAACAATGCCGATTGTGATCAGTTTCATTGATTTCATGACCCAGTAATGAATCGTAGTTTCAATAACAGTGTTCAAAAGACGGTGCTTTTTATCAGAAACTCAAAACCTAGTGAAGGGATCCGAACACAGAGAGTCCCATAGGCAGGCTGGTGAGTCAAAAGTGCAGGTCCACAGTGCAACGGAAACTCGGCACAGACCCACCAACCTATAGAGACGGTCCTTGTGTCTAGACCTTTCCAGTGGTCTGGGGGGAGAAATGTTATCTTTAGATGTTAGATTGAATTTAGTTGTCTTTTTTTTTCTTTTTACCAATTTTCACTAAGCAGCTCTTCCTACAGTATAGGATCTTATTTATTTTTCCTCTTGTGAATTGCTATCTTTTTATTGCTAACAGGAGTTATTATTCTCCAGGTGGTTTTTAATTTAAAAACAAACTTGGTCTCATCCATATCTTTTTACTAAAAACCTACTTGGTTTTTCACATTAGTTTTCTCTGGTGGTGTGAGGGTATAGATATATATACGAATACACACAGAGAAATGTGTCTATAAATGAGGATCTTCCTCTCCTTATTATTTTGAATTCCTTAATACGTCATGGTCCATGGCCCTCACAGTTAACTTCCATTATAAAAAAAATAAAGCATTCCATATTCTTGTCTTCACATGAGATGCAGGTATTTCTATGGAAGCTCTGACTCTTAAACTTAGTACACCACTGTAATCACATTACATCCTTCATACCCCTGTTAGAGGTACTAAATGTAATTTTTCCTGGCCTAAGAGATTGGAGCATTCTATCCACTGAATATTTCCATTTTAAAGGTTTTCAAGAATGGGCAGTGCCTGGGGCTCAAAGCGGTAGGGCGCCGGCCCTATATGCCTGAGATGGCGGGTTCAAACCCAGCCCCGGCCAAAAAAATGCAAAAAAAAAAAGTTTTCACGTAAACCATTGTATCTATCCTACATGGTCATGTGAAACCAAGGTGGATGCTTGAAGTTGAGGTGCAGTGCCTGCATCTCTCAAGTCTCTTCCATGCTCCGCTGGACCCTCTGACTGTCAGATGGCATTGGCCAGACCCATGGGTATGTCTGGAAGATGCTTCCCCCCCCCCCCAGAGTGCCAATACTTCTCAGTATGAGATATATTTAAATTAGTGTCTAATCTGTAAAGAAAACTCAGAGTAATTCTAGACCTGTTTAATTGCACAAGGCAGAACTGATCAAGGTTAGGAGCCGTTTCTTATAATCCAAAGCCTGAGAAATTGCTTCAGTTAATAAATCTTGGGAGATGGGGTCACATGCACTGACCAAGTTTGGAATTTTATAGCTCAGGTTCACATTCATGATGTGAAGACCTGGGCAAAGGAAAACTTGTAGCAGCTGATGTGCTGCTGAGTCAGTCATGTCAGCTTCCCGAGCAAGGGACAAGTCACAGTGGGTGTGGGGTGCTGGAGGGCAGAGGGAAGGAGGGATGCACATGGGGGGGGGCTGAGAAGATAGAAGCTCTTCTAAGTCAATTTGTTGAGCTGGCACCGACAGCATGGACTAGTAGACTGTCATTTTGTCCACACTTGCCCCCTCAGTTCACTGGAGGCTCCTCCCACCACTGGAGGCTCCTCCCACCACCTCGGATGGATTTGAAATCAGTCAGACTTGATTTAATGGATGACATTGCCAGCTTTGTTCTCTTTCTTCTGTCAGAAAAAGAGACTGTGCTACCACCTGCCATTTATTGAGCACGTGTAACTACAGCCACTGCTTCAGATGTTTTATATCACACCACCTGTGGGCCTCACACCATCTCTGAGTGCGACGGTTTGACCAAGGAAGACACCGGGGTTGTGGTGCGGTGACTGGTGCAGGGCCACTCTGTTTGGCTCCACCCTGCCTCTCTGTAGGGAGCCAGTTCCCTGGTCCTGTGCCACCTTAAGTAGTAGTACGGTGTAATAAACAAGATACTTAGGACTGGGAGAAGCCACATTCTTGGCCTTTTGTTATTTCCCTGAAAGGGCCAGTTGTCCTGCGTTTCTTTGTCATGTTTTTCCTACCTAAGATTAAACAGTTCCACTCTGAAAGCCAGAACTGAGATAATCGCATTGCAGAAATGTTTGGGTGGCACGTGGGCTGTGGCCCTTGGTGTGGCTGTTGCTGGTTTGGGGCCTTGTGTGCAAAGGGTCAGAAAGGCCCTTTCCCAATCCCATTGGCCCCAGGCTCTAGACCCCTATAGTTTTTAGGATTCAGTATTTTTTTTGTTTTGTTTTGTTTTGTTTTTACATTATACAGCTGTTTTGCTTTTTTTTTACATTATCCAAATGTGGTGGTCACTGATCTCCCCTCACCTCCTCCACACTTATCCACTCCTTAGATTTTGGCTTTTCTTCTAAAAAGTGTCCTGTATAGCTCTTTTCCAAAGGAAAAGATGGAGGTTCCAAGGGCAGATTAGTGGGTGTCTGCCTGCTTTACTTGGAAAGTCTCATCAGCGCCTCTGAACTGTTCTGGGCTTGCAGTGTGTGCATGAAAGGAAAGACCACATAGGAATGTTGAATTTTCCAAAGTTGACATCTTTCAGGTCTTTAAACATCCTGTTGATCAAACTGGGAACTTTGATGTTTAGTGCAGATGGGTCAGCCTGACTCAGATCTATGTCTAGAGTCAGGCCTGTGCTTGGAGCCCCTGACTGTGACTTCGAGCAGTCCCCCTACTCAGTGCACAGGAGGAGTTAATCCCAATTCAGTGCTTGCTGATGTTGTTGATAGTAAAGTATTTTAATGAGCTCTGTGAAAAAGGCTTGTAAGGAAAGTATTTGGTGAAGGGAGGCCTGAAAGACAGCGTTTTTAAAAACTTGTTTAAAGATTTTAGGTGTAACTTACTTTTTAGTGCTCCTTCAATGGCATTTTTTCTAGAATTCCCCAACTGCAGTGTTAGTGAAACAGTTTTTTTGTTTGCTTTCTAAATGCTGGGGACAGCACAATAGTTCTGAAACTAAGGCAGGCTGTTGGCTGGAAACATGGGTGGGCTCAGGTTTATGTAATTTAACCTCTTTTCTCTCCAAATCAGTAAATATTTACAGATGACCTTATCAAACAGTTTGGGTACATTTGGTCACTTGAAAGCGTGCAGCCAGAGCAGCGACTGCCCAGCTGCCTGCTGCCAGCTCCAGTGGGCCTCCAAGGAAGAACTTAACATTTTTTTTAAAACACATTGTCCCAAGACCAAATGCTTCCAACTACAAGTGGGCCTGGGAGGAAGTCTCCCTCTCTCCCTGGAACAGTCTTAGAAAATTTGCATTTTAAAGTTTGACATCTAAAGATTCAACTCTGAAGAGCTAGGGTGGATTGCTGGGAACTGAAGAATCCAAAAAATAAATATTGGATTCTGGCTTAGCTTTACCATTGCTGTGCCTGTGCTTTTGTGTCTTGGGGAAGGTAGTTACAGAATTCCATTCCAAGCACAAATGTCGTTCTTTTGAGTAAATTGGAAAAAGCAAGAGGATTACTGGTTATTTTTGTAAAATGGCACTGATATAATATGGTTTTACAATGTAACTCTCAGCTAGGTACAGTGGCCCACGCCTGTAATCCTAGCACTCTGGGTGGCTGAGATGGGAGGATTGCATGGGCTCGGGAGTTTGAGACTGTCCTGAGCAAGAGCAAGACCCCATCTCTACTAAAAATAGAAAATCTCATCAGGCATTGTGGTGGGCATCTGTAGTCCCAGCTACTTGGGAGGCTGAGCTAAAAGGATCACTTGTACCGAGGGTCTGAGGTTGCTGTGAGCTATGATACCATGGCCCTTCTATCCCTGGGCAACAGAGTGAAATTCTGTCTCAGAAAGAAAATATGACAAGACAAAATAAAAAATTCTCTTAATTTTTAGAGCAGAGATGGCATTTTGAGGGTGTCTTAGCCCTCTTTCTCTTTCAACATTTAAAATATGAAAAAAATTAAGGCTCATTTTAGAAGAGCATGCTTAGGTGCTTCAGAGTTGACACTGAGAAAATAATAAAGGCTTCTCTTTGGGAAGCCAGGATATGAAAATTATTATATCAGCATAATGTGGTGATAACATGTTCATTTTGTCTTTCAAACTTAACGTGACAAAGATTGCGGTGCATTTTAAGGTGTTCTGTTGTCAGTACAATATCAAAGACTGGCAAACAATCCACAAATAAGAAGCTTTTAAAAATAAATAACTATGAATAGCTGTATGTCTACTTACTGCAAAATAGTGAATACTTCTGTATTAATACTTTTGTATTTTAATTTTCTTTGCAGAGTATTGGGAAAGGGTCCTTGTGGTGCATAGACCCAGAGTATAGACAAAATCTAATTCAGGCTTTGAAAAAGACACCTTATCACCCACACCCACACGTGTCCAATACATCTCCCACCTCTCCTCAGGCATATCAAAGGTAAGCAATTCAGACTTTTTTGGGGGGGGGTCTACTGGAATTACATTCTTTTGGCAGAGACAAGCACTGAGATGAATGTAGTAGGCTACGTGAGGTTTTAAAAATAAGTGCAGGTAAATGAGAAAGAAATTAAGTATTATTAGGAGGTATCTCCCTTGTGGTAGTTCTGCAGACCTTACCGCTGCTTCTGCTGCTTCAGAGGACCCTGTCTCCAGAAGGCTTCCTGGTGGGTGAAAAAATGTCTTCCTGGGCAGAAGCATTCACGAAGAGCAGTTGACAGCTCTCGCATCTGAATGGGGCACGTTTTGTTGGGGTGAAAGTAGAGGAATGAGTTAAGCAGTGAATCCCTCTTCCCGGGTCTGGCCTGTCTCTGAAGATGTTCAGCGGAGTTGTTGTTGGTCCCGTCTCCATGTGGACGGTGCTCCGGGGTGATCATTTTGTTGTGGTTACTTGGTGTTTGCTTCTTCAAGGAGAACAGCAAGGCAACAATGGAGGCCCTCCCCACACATGCCCATTTGTTTTGAGGCAGTTAAGATCACAGGTACCATGTTTATAAATATGTAATTGGAGGGGTGGGCAAATAGCCCGCCAGTTAAAAAAAAACATATTAATGGAATCAGAGCCCCAAAAAGAGTCGTATAATACGGAACAAAATTTTAAAATAGATTTTATCAATACACAGTACTTGAGTTTGAAACACACCCTTCAGCCCTACAAACAAATTTTTCTGTATAGAGATGTTTCTATTGTAACCACCCAGATAAGAGAAATTGGACTACCAGTTGAAGTTAATTAGGAATGGCACGATGTCACAGATCTCAGTAGTTTTACAGTCCACTTCTTTGCAGATTGTTTTCCTAGCCTCTGTTTGTTCTGCAAGGGGAGCACAAAGTGATCCCCTGAAATAGCATTAATGAAGTTCTTGTGCATCTCAGTTGAGAAGCATTCCATCACAGGCCCTAGACAATTAGTCTTCAGCAAGAGACAGGGAGGAACAGCTGGGCTCTCTGAGAAGACTGCTGTATGTCTGCCTTTGCTAGGCGATTAGCGTGATGGTAGCCATGGCAACTGGAACGTCTCCATGGTAACGCGTAGCTGAGACAGGTGCAGTTGCATCACAAGGCTGTTTGTTGCCTGGCAAAAGGACAGGCCATTAGTACTTAGATATACGCTGTTGCCTTAGAAACAAATAACCCTACATAGCAACTACAGTTGGTACGAAAGGTTTGGGGGGTGGGGGGGAAGGTTGTAGCTGCTTTTGTCTGTGTTCATAAAAATCAGTAGAAGCATACTTTATTTGAAATGACAACTTGAGGTCATTTAGCTGTAGGAGATAAAATGGGATTTTCTAAAGCAGCTCAGCCAACACTGTAGAAATGTCCAGAAGGACAGAGCCATATGCTTGGTTTTCTCCTTGTGGTTGTAGCCCCTCCTGAAATGGAAGGGAACTAGGACTGGAGTGGAGAGTTGCCCATGTGCAGGGTTGGTGGCAGAGGACATGACACTGATTATTAAAACATTTCCCAGATTCTCAGGTTCCTTTGCGGTCTCACTGCCCCTTCTCTCCAAACTGCACAGAGTAGCCTTCTCCTGCCTCCTCAGTGTGTACCACAGAGGTATCGCATCTCTCTTTGCTTCTGGCAAGTTAAGGACATAAGAATTATTCACTGGGTCATATTAGTGGTTCGTTTAGACCAGTATTTTGTTGATAAATGTGACCCCAAGGGAAACAAAGTAATTATTTAATAATTTGAAGGATTATAGCAGAGCTCTGGGGGTTGCAACAGGAATGCATCCTCAGAGAAGCATTCTGAACTGCCCTTAACTTAATGACTTCATTTGATTTTTAATATAGGCGTAAAAATGCAGATGAACCAGAGCTTTGGAGATGACAGTAATTTCCAAATGAATACTTTAGATCCTATTCTGTCACCTCCAGCTCCTTTTCTCCCAGTTGACCATGATGGGGGAGTTTTCTGCATGTATTCATGTGGGTGCTTAGAATTCACCTCCATAAAGGTCGCAGGAAGTAGAGTCAGATGACAGCTGAAGAGTCTAGCCTGCCTCTTCCATGCTAACTCCATAAGAACATGCCACTTTCTCTTTCCTGGGGACTGTCATCCATCCATGTGAAAGCTTAGCGTGCTCAGGGGATCTCTAGTGTGTGAAATTGTACTGAAGCCACTAAGTACTAGATGATTGTACAATATTTCTATGGCTCACAATTACGTGGTGGTTGGCTCAGTTCTAAGCCTTCAGGCTACTTGATGACGTGACTTAGGGAAGATGGAAGTGGAGCAAAGTGAGTCATTAGATGGGGGCCAAAAAATACCAAATTGACACGATCTGGCTGGGTCTGCTGTGGTGCAGGGAGTCACCTGTCAGCCTCTGCAGGATTGCCGTGAGGGGCACCTGGGAAGTGCTTGGCTTTCACGGAGCTGGTACTTAGCATGCTGAAGAAGATGGTGATTACACTAGATGGGCAGTTATTGCTAGTCCTTGCAGGTGTGCTTGGCAAGTATCACTCTGAACTAAGCTGCAGGTGGCTGGAAACTGCAGGAAAAATGAGGCATTTGAAAACACTGCCCAAACCTTGTTCATGTCTAAATGCGTGTGTAATGCTAAATATTGTGATGTCAAGACTCAGGCTTCTGTGTTCCAGTATGCCCTTTTGGGTGGTTGGCGAGACTTTTCCTCTCCACCTGCTTTGTGATATACTGAATTTGTGAATTTTTAATTGAAATGAAAAGCTCAGTGACATTAGCCCTTCTATTCATTTGCGAAGGCATCCATGGCAAAGTACCTCACTTAATACTGAGAAATATATTGTTTCACAGTTGTGGAAGCTGGAAGTCCAGGATCAGGGTACCAGCAGCTATGGTTCTTTCTGGGGACTGGGAGGGAGCATTTGTCCCCTCACCTCTGGTGCTCTGCTGCCATTTTCCTGGAGTGCTTTGACTTACCTTGATCTCTGCCTTCATCTTCGAACGGCATTCTCTCTGTGTGGTGTCCAAATTTCCCTTTTTTATAAGGATACATGATTCATATTGGCTTAGGGGCTCACCAAAATAGCCTCATCTTAACCAACTACTGATTAGTCTCTGCTGATCTTCAGTCCCAAATAAGGTCCCATTATGCTATCCTGGGGGCGAGGACTACGACATATTTTAGAGACTCAGTTCAACCCGTAGAGCCCTTTTCTTAAATGAAGACCTGGAAAGGAAAGGGAGGGATGCCATATTTGGAAAAGTTTGGAGAAGCAGAGAGTAAGGAAATATTTTAAAAACCAAAATGATGGAGCTCTGGCAGAGGGATGTAAGAGCCAACCTGGAATTGCTCCGGTTAGCCAAAGCTAGGACAATTGGAGCTCCCAAATAAATAACAGAGCATTGGATGACAACCCAAAACATAAAATAAATACCTGTGTGTCCATACTGATATACATGATTGATGGAATGCCTAAATAATTGAGAGAAGAGACAAATTTTCCATACGGAGAATTCCAAATAATTTATGTAGGTATTTCTCCACTGGATGAGTGGAGCATAATTGTCCTCGCCCTGAATGACCACACTAAATGGCTTACCACTTCCAAAGAGTGACATGTGAAAAAGGTGGGAAGAGAAGTTGATCTTGGAAAAACCTGGTATTCCCCAGGTGATGACAGCTAACATCCTGATGTGACGTTGGTAACGGGACCCTTCCATACGAAGTCCTGGACTGAGCATTTCACTATGGTGATGTCTTCCTCCCCAGAACCTATAATCACAACCTAGTGATGGGAAAAGCACCAAACGATGATTCTGACCTTCAAAGAGGACATCCCGTAAAACACCTGATCAGCAGTCCTCAAAGCTGTCAAGGTTATCAAAGACACGGGAAGTGTGAGAATCTGTTACAGACCAGAGGAGGCTGCAGAGACATGATGACTAAACATGTCATATGATATCCTGGATGGGATCTTGGAGCAGGAAAAGGATATTAAGGGAAAACTTGGGAAAGATGAATAGACTATGCCATTTATTTAATAGTAGGGTGCTAGTGTTGGTTCTATAGCTCTACAGAGCTATAGTAATGTTGTCCTATAGTAATGTTAAGTATAGTAATGTTGACATTGGGGGGAACTGGAGTGGGGGGTGTATGGGAACTCTCCGTGCTATCTTTGTAACTCTACTATTTATCAAAAAAGCGATCTGCAAACGCCGACTTGTGGAGTTGATCCATTTTAAATATACAAATCAGTTTTGGTGCAATGAAAAGTAAAATCAGGGCATCGCTGAGAGTTTCCTGGCCTCCTGGAGAGTCCCTGTCATTGTTAGGGTACATTTGAAGAGCTGGCTGTCGGGGGCCCTGCCTCTACCTCATTCTGTGCAGGACTGCTAAACCACAGGAGGATGTCACTGTAATTTGGATGCCTTCATTTTTGGAACTTTATTTTTGTAAAATGGCAGTGCTTTGTAGGGTACCCATGGCTGAGCTCAGGGAACTCTTGCAGACCGAGCCAAACAAGCTTGCTGGAGAAACCTAAACCTCTGCCAGGGAGACTTTGGCATGTAGCCTTCAGAATCTAGATCTGGAAGGAGAAGGGAGGGATGCCATATTTGGATTTTCTTGTCCCCTACACCCCTTCAGAAAAGTCCAATTAGTTGTTCTAATGGTTGTGTTCCATATGCCCCTCCTTCCTGGACACGGCAGTTTCCATTAAAGAATATGCATATTTTTAATGCTTTTGCTAGGTACTGCCAAACCGCCTTCTGATTTCACACTCTGTTCCGGTCTACCCTCCTACCAATTTTTTAGGAAATTCCCACTTCCTAACTGTCCTCAATGTCTGATGGTGAAATGAAGACATTTTCCCAGTGGGTGAACTCAACTTTTGTGGTTTGGGTACTTTATGGTATGGGCATTTAAACTTTGCAATACTACATTAATGTGCTGTAAATACCTCTGTAACAATGTTTATGACAACAAATTTGTTTTAAAAAAGTGATAAGGGTGTG